ATCACCCAGTAAGACAAATTCTGAGATGTTTTATGAGATCTTGCTTAGTACCAGCATGTACTAAAGCCATCATAGCATTTGCTATTCTCTCCTAGAGGTATAATCAAAAGCAAGAAAACTAATCAGAACATGTCTACCCTTAACTCCCTCTTATGAGTATTTGGGAGTAAAATAACTATGAAAAAAAAAGCAGCCTTGGAGGCAAGGGGCTAGTTTGGAAGCTGCTCCAGCAGTTCAAATGAGATATACCGGTTATCTGCACAAAGTGGAGTGGAGAGAAAGGAATGTGTGTGAGGTAGCGCTCAATGAGAGATAGGTTTAGCACTTGACTGACTGGGAATCATACCGAGGAAGCCTAAGAAACAAAGGCTAGTTCCTCTAGGTGACCTGCTGTATGGAAGTGTCATTTATTGGTAGTGGAGAAGGCATAGGGAACTACTTAAGAACTTAGGAAATGTTTATGCATTAAAATAAACATGAGGATGACAGTGAATGGTCTGACACAGATAAAGGTAAAGAGAGACTTACCCTACCAGGTAGTGAAATCAAATTTAAGGTTCCGGTGATCAAAACTGTATGATGCTAGTTCTAGAACAGACTGACATATGGAGCAAATTAGAAAATTCAGAAACAGATTTGACTTTACGCATGCATATGGTAGATACCGTTTGTTGTGGGAATTCTATTTCAAAAAAGTGGAGCATATAAACAAATTGTATAAATAAGAGTTTTTTTAAAGAGCAAAACATTACATTTCAATATGATAGAACTGGCTAAGTTATGTATACTGGAAGGTAATGTTAAATTTATCATCTGAACATATACAGATGCATTCAACATAGGTTGTATCTTGGTAAACCCATCGAAAGTTAAAAATATTCTAAGCCAAAAGTGCATTTACTTTACCTAATCTTATAGGCATCCCAGCTTAGCAGTAAAATATATTGTAGTATAACACTAATTTACTCCCTTGACCATGTGGTTCATTGAGACCTGTGATCTGCTGTCACTGAGGAACACCAGAAGGGAGTGTTCGACTACTTATCACTAGCCTAAGATCAGATGAAACTCTAAATTTAGAGTATAGTTCCTATGCATACATGTTGCTCTTGTATATCATAGAGTCATAAACTCATGTCAAACATCATAAATCAAGGACAAAGTGTATTTACCATTGAAAATAGTTCATAATACATTGTTGGAAGTAAATAACAGGTTATAAAATTTATATTAATATATGTGATTTATACCCATTATCTCAGCACTTGGGAGGCTGAGGCAGGAGACTGAAAATTTTGAGGTCAGCCTGGGCTACACAGTGATTTACTGTTGCAAAATCCTTGAAGGTTAAAATAATTGTAGACACAGAGATACTCAAAACAGAAAATAGGGCAGTCTCTTCAGTAAACTGTTGTGGATAACCTGATGCCTCACAGAAGAATTAATTTTAGATTTTCATCTCACACTGACTGCAAAAGTGAACTTGAAATGGACTTAAAACACAAAACCTGAAACTGTAAATCTACTAGAAGAAAACAACTACAATTTCTACCATATTTGGTCTGGGAAAATATCTTTTTATCTAAGTACCAAATAATTAACCAAAACAAAGTAGACAAGTGAATTACATTGGCTAAGTGGCTTTCACACAGCAACGGGAAGAGCACAGTGGAATGGCAACGGATGGAGTAGGGTAAAGTATTTGTCAACCGAACATCATGTCCAGGGTCTGTATCAATATACCGGGCACTCAACTCCATAGTCGGAAACAATTAACTCTTTCAAATGGACAAAGGACCCGGATAGCTAGTCCTTAAAGAAGATATGTAGGACGACCAATAGGTATAAATAATGCCCCTGCCTAATAACCAGGAAATGCACATCGAAGTTACAGTGAGATCTCATAGCCATTAGAATGGCTAATATGAAAAAGACAAAAATCTATTAGTTTTGGGAGAATATGGAGAAAATGAAACCCATGCACACCACTGGATGGAATATAAGTTGATGCAGCCGTTATGGAAAGTGGTATAGAGTTTCTCAAAGAATTAAAAAAATGTTGAGAATGGTCTATTCCACTACTGAGTATCTACTCAAAGGATGCAGAATCAGTGTGTTGAGACGTTATGATGCTCTCCCATGTTTATTGTAGCCCTATTCACAGAAATCAAGGTTTGGAATCAGTCTGTGTATTAACACATGGAGAAAGTAAATTAGTCCATCCTTAGTAGTTAAACTTCCAAGTCATTTTTAAGGATTTACAAATCCTAATAATTCTATATAAATAGTGACATTGCAACTTTCCCAAGTCCATGAATTATTCTGATAAATTTAGTGTAGGGTTTTAGCTGGAGACTTTATTTCATTTTCAAGGCTGAGAATTCTATTATTATTATTATTATTACTATTATTATTATTATTATTATTATTATTATTATTTCCCCACACTTACTCCAGCACTTGTTGTCACTTGTTTTGTTGATATTTGCCATTCCAACTGGGATAAGATTGGAGAATCCTTTTTGAAAGGGAATGGAGTAATCAATAACAAACTGACAAAAAGGTGAAATCATTTAGATGACAGTAGTTACATCTGCTTAAAGAACACAAGACTGTCCAGCTGATGCATAGGGCTGACTCCTCTCCTGCTGTGTGCCAGGACTTGCAGCAGATTCCGGATACAGGTTGCTGCAGAAGACACAGTGACAGAGCAGAGTCATCTGGTATACCCGTGACATAGGCTTCATCTATAGTCTTATCCACAGAGAACGAGCTGGGGATTGCCAGTAATGGAGAGTCTATTCTGTTGCTGTCTAGTCCCATTTGTTAGCTTATTTGACCAATGTGTGTTTATTTTATAAGAAAAGTAATACTTTTAATTCATAAAAGTTATTTTGGTTATTGACCCAAATTTCCTCTTCTTGTCTTATAAATATTAGTCTTTTTTCCTTCTGTTTTTTGCCTTTTAAGAGCTTTGCCTTTCCCTCCACTTTGTGAGATTGCACTGACAGAGAGAGCCTTTCAGCTAGGTTGAGAAAAGCATTGTGTAGCTGTGCGACTTCTCTGGATAGAACACTGTGGCTCCTTTCATCATTTTTTTCTCTGACATGGGTTTTAAAGCAAATACCCTCTTGATTGCTTCCTCTGGATCCTTTCTACTTTGTCACCCTTTGTTGTTAAAAATAAATTACTCCCAATTTCCTGCTCTCAATAGAGCAGAGTGAACATAATTGACTCTTTGATGTGTGAGGGTCTGGTGTGGTCTGAAAGCAATTACCCTGACCTTGAATTCCACTTACTGTAAATATCATTATAGAGAAAGTAGGAGCTCACACTAAATCTGTATCAACCCTGGAATATATCTTGGAAGATTTTCTGAAAATGAGTTTATTTTCTTGTTATTTGTTTCTCAGCTGTGAAGTGTACTTTATAAGGTAACAAATAGAAGAAATAAAATGAGGTTCATTCTGAAATCCATTGTGCAGATAATTTGCCTTCTCAAGTAGACTATGAACTCCCTGAGAGCAAGGACTATGTCTTGCCAATTAAGGAAAAAAAAAAAAACAACACTAATGCTTAGCCTCTAGTGCTTAATATAGTCTCTCTCTCTCTCTCTCTCTCTCTCTCTCTCTCTCTCTGTCTCTCTCTGTCTCTCTCTCTCTCTCTCTCTCTCTCTCTCTCTCTCTCACACACACACACACACACACACACACACACACTACACACACGGAAGCTCCAATAATTATTGGTAACCTGTTAATTCATCATTCATAAGAAATTAAGACGTTATAAAATTAATTGCACTGCGGTTTTTAGAATATACTGAAGAATTAGTAGCATAAAATCTGGATCTAAATTATATCCTAACCTTAATAAGTGTTAGCCATAGTGTATTCATTATATAGTTAACAGTGTTTACCATGAAAAATATTAATATGTTGGATGGGATACTTATAATTCTGAGAGGAAACTCAAATAGCAATGACTTAAACTATGAGGATGCTAATATGTACGTACAAAGCCTGAAGAAACTGGTTCTAGGTCTATTCAAGCAATCCAATGACGTCATAAGGGTACCAAACACTTTTATCTTAATGGTGCAATGTAGCTGGAGTTTTTCTGCCTGGCCCACAGTCAGGACAAATCTCTCTCACCTGCCAGTCCCACAGCCATCAGACCCAACCAAGTAAACACAGAGACTTATATTGGTTACAAACTGTATGGCCGTGGCAGGCTTCTTGCTAACTGTTCTTACAGCTTAAATTAATCCATTTCTATTAATCTATACTTTGCCACGTGGCTTGTGGCTTACCGGTACTTTACATCTTCCTTGTCCTGATGGCGGCTGGCAGTGTCTCCTTTTCCAGCTTCCTGTTCTCTCAATTTTCCTCTCTGTTAGTCCCGCCTATACTTCCTGCCTGGCCACTGCCAATTTATTCATTGACCAATCAGCAACACATTTGACATACAGACCATCCCACAGCAGTGCAACTTCTGGGTTTTTATCATTTTGTTCTTGAGTTTGCATTACAGTAAAAAATAAAGTCTTCCCCTCCCCCAGAGAGGAGCCTAGGGGTAGTAGCCTCCTCCCAATCTTCTCTGGGGAAAACCATCCCTTCAGAATCCTTCCAGAGAATTCTGCTTATGTTTAACTGGCCAAAGGTGAGCTATATGGCTCTCTCTAGAAGGTAGGCAAAGAGCAGGGTCTGCGAAATGATTGTTGATTAAAGCTGTTTACTCTGTGGCTAGGAAGTAGATAAGCATAACAGAGGAAGATCAAGACTGTTAGTGACTAATGGAAAGCCAGGTTAACCAAATGGTAGGAACTCTTTAAATAGTATCAGTGATAACACATGGTTATAGGACCTTTTCAATAGACAGAGCATCAGTTCTTAGCCAATTTGATAACAACTGATGGACCCAACTACCTTTTCTGATTTTTATAAATCAGACAAGGCTGTATTTTTATTAAAAAGCTTTTTATTACCTCTCCTTTTCAGGAGTCTTATCCAAAGAAGAGGAATTACATCATGGAAATCGTACCATCTGCCTCTCTGGACACATTTCCTTCAGAAAATGAGAACTTTCTTTGTGATCTCATGGACACAGCTGTTACAAAGAAACCTTGCTCCCTAGAAATCGCACGGGCACCTTCTCCGAGAACTGGTAATATTTCCTACTCACAATTGGCCAATTCAATTTGCATACTCACATAAGTGAAGATACACCATTAATATTTTTATTTCATACTATATTATCAACATGAATGTGCCCCAGTGTAGTTCCAGTGATCAGTTTTGCATTTCAAGTGAGCACAGGTAAGCCATGGGTTTTGATGTGAAATCTCCTAAAGATTAAGGGCTCTTCATGGAGATGGCCCTGCCTTGATGAAGGCACTTAGGCGCCTTTTCATCATTAGGAACCTTGGTGGAACATAATGCTTTGGGTCCGTGGTAGCAGGAGTCTTTATATAGACCTTTTGACATCCTATCTGTTTCTAACTTGTCAAATTGTATTTAGTTAGTAAATTTACCTCATGTTTTTATAACTTGCTCTAGTTTAAAGGTTGGAAGTGTTTTCTGGTGGCTAGAGTTATTGAAGATGAAACACCCAAAGCAAGAACAGAGTGAATGGGTAGATGTTGGCAATGCGATAGTCCAGATAAATTATTATTATTATTTTAGTTCAGTTATTATTTTTTTTTTCGAGACAGGGTTTCTATGTGTAGCTTTGCGCCTTCCCTGGAACTCACTCTGTGGCCCAGGCTGACCTCGAACTCACAGAGATCCGCCTGCCTCTGCCTCCCAAGTGCTGGGATTAAAGGCGTGCGCCACCACCACCGCCTGGCTGAGTGAGGTTATTAATATGGAGAAATGCTATTCCATTTCCAAGTGGGTTTATTTCCGCCTAAGATGGCAAATTGGACTGGGGCTAGTTCAGCGGTCAAGTGCTTGTCTAGTATGCGCATGGCTCTTGGTTCAGACCCCAGCACTTGGTGTGTGTTGGGGGCAATGAAAGGAGGAGCTAGAGAGGGTTCGAGGTAGAACCCAGAAAATCCATTATAGATAATAGGCTGGAAAATTTCACAGAGATGAACAGATAGACTTTGAGCAGTGCTGAGGGAGGGGTGCTGTGTGAATGATAACCACACAGAAGGAAGATATTTTTTGGATAAGGTGAAAATAAAGTAATAAAAGTAGTTACTACGTGTTCTAAGTGCTTTATGTGTGTTAGCTCACATAGCTCATAGGATGCTGTGAGATATTAACATTGTCCATCACTTTAAAAATGAGGACGTGGAGGCCCTGACACTTTAGGTAACATCACAGGAGTGTGTTAATAGGGATGGAGTTGGGGTCTGAGCTTGAGTGATGCAGCCTGTGTTCTTCATTGTGTGCCATAGTGTCGCATTATGTCAGGGGGTGAGGTGAAGTAGGAATTGTGAACAAAGAACAGATGTGTTAAGAAATGTCAGATAGAGCCGGGTGGTGGTGGCGCACGCCTTTAATCCCAGCACTCGGGAGGCAGAGCCAGGCAGATCTCTGTGAGTTTGAGGCCAGCCTGGGCTACCAAGTGAGTCCCAGGAAAGGTGCAAAGCTACACAGAGAAACCCTGTCTCGAAAAAACCAAAAAAAAAAAAAAAAGAAATGTCAGATAGTCCTCGTGTGACACTGGCAATCAGAAAAGATGTAAGGCTAGCAATAGGCCGGATGAGTACAGGCTATGGATGAAGAGGGGCTAATGAGTGATTCATGCGCCATCATGGAGAATAAAACCAGTGCTCATAGCTGTAGAGAAGTGGGTGGAAACCAGAACTTTCCAATAAGCTGAAGCTATTGTTGTGAAGTGGTTCTTGGAGCAACGAATTCAGATAAAGAAAGATCCCCATGACTGCCTAGTGTGAAGATTCTACTGTGAACATTGTCCTCCACAGACTCAGATTCCAAGGGTTACATCTCTGTGGTAATCACAAATAATGCTGCCTCACACCCTCCATCCCAAAGACTTCAAAGTCTTGATCTGTTGTGAGCAAAACAAGAGGTAAGATTCCTGAGGAATTCATACTGTAAGCTCACCCCTATACAGATTAGCACCCCAAATTCATCTCACACAGAACTTCGGAAAACTGAATTTAGGTTAAAGCAATACCCTCATGGACCAGTCAGAAACAACTATGACCCTTAGGAAGGAGAGTAAATACCTCCATCAAGAATCAGCAGAACTAAGGGAAAATAGAAACACCTGAAAAGACTTCCCAAATGGTAACTGTCAGATGGAGAGTATAAAATGATTACACAAAGATAAAGGAGAGGTAATGCTGAAGTAATTTCAGGCAAAGAGAAGCTTTGAAAAAAAAAACCCACCACAGTATAATAGATATGAAAAAGTAAACCTCTAGAACTGGGAAAAAAATGGTACACACAGCATATGATGTATGGATGATGTTCTAAGACATTAAATTCACCTGGAGAAAGTTTTAGTGAATGGGAAATAGGATAAGAAGAAAATCTCAGAATGCTGTATAGAAAGAAAAAGGACAGAACAGAAGCATGTACGGCATGGAGTATATGTTCCAAGAATTTCTTATGTGTCTGATCAAAGTTCTAGAGTTCTGAAAGTAATATATTTGAGAAAAGGGTGTCCCAAATAACCCTGCCCTGATACATGTGAGGAGGTTGATAAGTGAATGGTAAAATTTGTTAGATTGTATAATATATGAAGATACAATATTTCATAGAGTCCTTTGGAAGCGATATGAAAGCATCCTGGAAGCAGAAGGTACAATTGAAGGAAGAGAGAATGCCTGTGTCGTGTGTCTATTGCTATTTAAAAGCCACTAAGCTTGAACTGATCACAGTAATTTCTTTTGCTCCTGAATCTGTGAGCCTAGCTGGGCTCATTTTTCAAGGATCTCCTTTTGACCACCTTGTGTCAACCGAGACTGCTCACTTAGGGAACTTGGAGAACTGCCTTTTTCTTTCTTTCCTTTTTCCTGTGGTAGGAATTGAACCCAGGGCACTGTGCATGCTAAGTGCTGTAGATCTACGCTCCATCTCCAGCCCATGGAGAACCACTGACACCAAGGCTGCTTGAAGATGGAGCCTAGTTGGATACCTGGCAAGTGTATGTAAACTGGGAGCTTGGCTTTGGTGTGGGCATCATTTACCCTCTGCTGTAGATGCCATGTTTTTCCTCATGAAGTATGGGCTGGATTCTGAAGATCTCTCCACCACCAGCGGAAAGTCCAGTGCTTCTACTTTATTACCATTTTGCACTCAGGAAATCTGGGATGTCAGCATGACCAGGCTTCTGGTGAGAGTGCTCATCCTGGCTTGGGGAAAGCTGACATTTCACTGTGTGCTTTTGCTGTTCTTTATGTGTGTGCTGAGTGAGTGACTCTTGCATTTTTGCCCCTGATAAGTAACCATACTTAAGGAAAAGACATCAGAGAAATCAGGACCGTCTTCCCAGCTTCCAGTCATAGGTTCTCTCTTTGAATAGCTCTTTAGGTCCCCTCAGCTTCTTCCCCTGAACTTTTAGGCTTTCATAGTCCCTTGTTTAGAGTTTCCCCAGCTTCTGCCTACTGAGAAGTCACAGTGTTAAAGCCACAAGTTGTAGAACACGGCATTTTCAACTGTCCAAGTCTCTTCTGGTTATTGAATACCACGTAACACACTAACCTTAAGACCTAGTTAAAACAACAACAACACACACTCATTTATTTTTCTTATAAATCTGCAGTTCTGGGATGGCTCTGCAGGAGTTTCTTGCTTGCTGTTCCCAGTCATTAGCTAGGGCATCTTGATAAAACGCTGTAACAGAATCTGTGTACAGGATCCATTCTTAGGCCAGGTGAAAGGCTCTAACAGGCTGGAGATGGACCAACATGGCGCCAATAGGTTTTGCCTTTTACCGCCCCCCCCCCCCGCCCCCACTTGCTGAAAACTGTTAGATTACATTCCCAAAGCACCCACCCCCCCCCGTGCCTGCTTGCCCTTCCAGAGTAATTAATCTTTGTGATGAGAATTTGGTGTCTGGTTGTGTCTTATACTGACTCCAAGAGGGGCCGGCTCCCTCACATCAGGTATGCTGGCTCAAACTTAAAATCCTAATATTTAGGAGGCTGGGGCAGGGGGATTACTGTGAATTTGTGGCCATCTTTGGCAACATTGTGAGCTTCACATCAGTCTGGACTAACGTAGATGTAACCAACCATCTTATTAAATAAGAAACACAGAACCAATGCAAAGAAGAAAGCCAAGAGGTCAGAGCTAAGAGCTAAAACCTTACCCCTCCTCCTGTGGTGGTCCTACCTCTCCGAAAGAGAGCTACTTCCCGTGTTAAAGTCTTTATAAAGACTTTCTGTTCTGCCCTCTTATTGGTTGCAAACCCAACCACATGTCCATCACTGCCTTTCTGTACAGACCTCCAGGCCCTCCATCGCCGGTTGAGATCAAAGGTGTGTATGTCTCCAATGCTGGCTGTATCCATGAACACACAGAGATCTACCTAGCTCTGCCTACCAAGTGCTGAGATTAAAGGCATGCACCACCACCGCCCTGCTTTCCTATGGCTTGCTAATAGCTCTGACCCCCAGGCATCTTTATTTATTAGCATACAAATAACATTTTAGTACAAAATAAAATATCACCATAGACTAATTTCAAATAAATAAGAAAACTAACATCCTATCTTCCATACCTACCATGATCTACTTGGATTGCTCATGGTATATATTAATATGTTTCCAAGAATAAACCCCAAGAAAATTCGGCAGAAGCTGTACTCCCTTTTATGGCTTAGCTTTGACTGGCGAGGCATCACTTCTCCTGTGGTCAAGAGCCTGCCCGCATTTAAGTGGAGGGAGTTTTCTTTCTCTGACCCTTAACAAAAGAATGCTAACTGTATAACAGCAGAAGTCATTCATCCAGCTGCTTTTGGAAAACACAGATTCCTACAACTGTCTGAGATGCTGTTGTTTTGTTCTGATTTCTTCTAAATGGAGCTAGATGTAATTTACACGGATATATGATTTCTCCTATTGTCTTTGATACTTGGGCTTAGTATAGAAACAGCTTGACCAATTGAGTCAGCTGAATCCATAAGACTCATGCTCTGCACTTTGGGCTGTGTTTATGAATTCTACCAGTGAGGAGTCTAGAATT